TTGTACTGGTGAGGTCATAACCTCGACTGTTACACACAAAATGGCACAAGGCGTGTTTTAAAATATGGTGACAAATAAGATTTGTTGTGATCCCTACTGAGGTATTAGTCAATATTAAAACTAGTTTTGCTACTTAGTTAAACAGCTATTAAATTTGACCTTTCCTGAATAGTTTTAGTCTGGATTTTCAGAACTAGTATAATGATAATATTCAAGAAACAACCATTATTTTGTGCTCTATGTTACATTATATTATGTGAAAAAGTGTGTATGGTATTAAAACTGGTATTGAGTATCAGGTCTTTTCCTTAGCTTTGCAATTGTGTTTGGAGTTTTAGCATTGTGAACAAGAGGGGACAGTGTTATGCTCTATTTAGTCTTATTATACAAGTTTCACTCAAACTTGTACCAAACAGTACTTACCATAATGCTAATTTTGCTGTTAATGATAATTATTGTTAGTTAGTTTTGGATTAGACACTGTGCATACAGGAGAAGCGCATTAGTACTTAAATGTTTCATGTGTAGCCATAACATACAGGTCATGACAGCCTTTCTATTTAAAAGCCCAGGGGCTCTCAGGTGTAAGGGCATGGCTAAAATAGACCAATGCACACTCAGCACAATCCTTTACGCTTTTTATGCAAATCAGATCAAATGTATTGCACTCTTGCTGACCTGCCAAATGCACGGCAGATGTTTCCACTCTTAGAAGACACACCATATGTTTTTATATACACTTGCAATTGCAGAGAGAAGGCCTCCTCCTGTTTTGATAAGGAGAGACAGTGGGGGGCAGAGACTGGCAGCAGAAGAGAATATAAAAGATGACAACACTTAATTTCCACTTTGAGACTGAGCCGAGACACAAGCACACACAATAACACATACATGATGAGCTCTTAAGGAGGCGCCAAAATACTCTAGAGGGACCGATGCAAACAATTCCACACACCCAGCCCGCCTTAAAAATAAAGATTTCAGTAAACAGTTTTCGGCACCATTTAAGGACGACAGGATATCAGACAGAATTGAGAGGAAAGATGGGCGAAAGTGAAAGGAATGGAAACTAGCAAGAAACGCATCTTACTTCGGCTCAAACAAATAAAAAGAAGAGACATGGAAAGACTGAAAACAACTTGTGCACCTCTCGAGAATAAAAGTGGGTCTGGATGATAGCGATGGCAGCTCCACTTGGGTTGATTTTGACAGGAAATATTGGAGAAGTGAGCAGACATGAGGAGATAAGGAACAAGAGGAGAAATGGAGCCAAGGTTTATAAAAAAAATAAAAAATGCTCCAGAGGATAAACAGAGATAAAAATGCTGTCATTAAAGCATGCGGGCTATAAGTCATTATCTGATTGTAAAACAGCTAAACAGGACAAGGCTCTATCTCACCACAGAAAATATTCAGGAGATAATGGTCAATAGTGGAATAATAAAGCATAGCAGTTGTATTTACTAGTCACGTTTTCCAAACTTAAGTTGCACAAAGGCTGCAATTTTGCTAATTCATAAGGTTTTAATTAAATAGTGATTAATACACCTAGGAATCACAGGGTCCCTCACAATTTGATACATGATGGCTCATAATACGATATTATCACAATATGGTGATAAGTGCGATAGTCGATATACACATGCACATGATACATGGTACATATGCGCATGACACTGTGATATATGTATCACCAAATTTAGTACGATAATATATATATTTCAATATTTTTGCACATCCTTTGTGATTAAATGTGCAGCCCAAGTCTTTGTTACCTCGTGCAAACTTAACACGTTGTACAAGCAGCAATCATACCTACAACAGCAGAAAGCAGATCACATGCATCAGACACATGTGGTTAATATGTAATGTATGTAATATATAATGTAATGTATATAATTCATTTTGCCTTAATGACTTTATGAGGAGTATATTTGAAATGTTTTAAAATGTAAATGAAAAGTAAGATCCATCCACAAATATCTCTATATTTACCCAATGAAAAGATGATTACATTTTTTTCAGGCTAATCCAGATAGTTGCTGTTAATGCCAAACTGAAATAAACAGAATTATTTTAATAAAAAATCTTAAACAGCAGGTAAAACATCAAGCAATACAATACATATTAAAAAATACCATTAATGTTGTTATAGCTGTGTTTGCTTATCTAAGTCTCATGTTGATTTGAATAAAAAAAAAAAAAGCTCCAACACCAACTTCTCACTGCCGCACAAACAGCTGTGGGCTACTTTAAAGTACACCACAAATGACTGAAACAGACAAGCTAGGTAACCAGCAAACAGCATGCAAACACTCTGACAAATATTCACTAGACTCCAGGAGCACTCAGTTTGCATACAAGAAAAAATAACATAAATTTTTCAGTGAAGTACATTTAAATAAGTAGTTTCCACACAAATACACCAAGGACAACAAAGTTTTAAGCCAAATTCAAAGCAACAGTACACAGTTTAGCATAAATATAGACCGCCAAGCAACCCACAGCGAGCAGACTTTGTATCCAAACTAACAGTTTAATCATATTTTCTTGCTACATTTCACAGATGCTTTAAAAATGCATTGGACGATTTGCAGAAATGTGAAAATTATAATTCTACTCCTTTTCCAATTTTCTGAATAAAGCCCACCAAACTTTAACTATTAAAATACAGCTCCCTTGCCTATGAATGGACACTCATGCATAATGCAGGAGGAAGCGAGAGGCTCATCAACAGGGATCCAGGGAGGAACATGGCAGACAGAGGAGACGGAGGGATCGAGGGGGCAGGAGGAAGCGTCTCGGAGAGAGGGAGGGCAGACAAAGCACCAGGTCAATCTCAGCTATACACACATGCACACACACACACACACACACACACACATACACACACACACACAGAGACAGAAAAGCTGAAGGGAAAAGCAGTGGGTTTATGTGACTGATAGAGACATAAGAAGTCAAAGGTTAAATCAAAACAGACAGGATGGTTGCCAATAATGTAATAACAATTTGGAGTGGATGTGTCTTGCTTTCACTCTTCTGTCTGCTTTGCCTACATTCAACACAGCAAATACCAGATGGAGGGCAGGGACCTAAAACTCATGGGCAATTCACTGTTCTGAAAGAATAAGCAAAACAAAACAAAAAAATGTAAAAATGTAGATACTGAATTTTTGGAAAATGGAATTGGGTCCGTTAATTTTTCATATTAATAATTTAGTCAATAGTCAACAGTCATACCTGTGTGTTTAAAAAATGCTACTACATTGGTTTATTGTTTGCAAAGTGAGGAAAACACTGAACCTTGTGCATTTTATCTGAATAGCGACAAGTAATTATATAAGAGAATTATTAACCATAAACCAGCTCAGTTTTAAACTGTAACTTATACCATTTTGGAATGTTATAATATCAATGTAAAAGTAAAGCCTTGATCATGTCAAACCTTTGACGTTCAAATAGATGGCTGGGTGTTTTGAGGTGGTTTTGTTGACTCAACTTGAAGTATGCTAAAAAACAAATGCTAATTTTATTTATGTTTAAGAGGGAAATCAAATTATTAAACTCAATTACATCTTTTATTAGCGCATCAATTAAATTAAATATTACACAGGCTATAGACACAATGCCTGTATTGACAATATTTTGCTATTTTATATATTAATGTTTCATGTCATCTTATATTTCAATCAAAATATTGTCAGTCAAGCCATAAAACCAGCAGATACCATATTTCTGGAAGCCTCAGTGGACTGTGAATCACAACCAGTCATCTCGTCACTTTGTGACTTCACAGTTTGACAACATGTCATCAAATGTCAATGTTCAGTCAAGAGTGAAAGTCAAATCATGGATACTGGAAATCTCTGATGACCTCAACAACTACAGCTACAAACTCCTGGAAACAATAAAACAACTTTACAGACAGTGGAGTAATTTACCAGCGTCAAAGCTTTAATACCCAATGGTGGAAAAAGGGTTGGCCAAGATCACGTTATATTACAACACCAAATAATTGTTCATATTAAAAAAAAAATCTTCATCTGTATAAAATATTATATACAGTATAATATACTGACATGACATACTAAACCTAAATCTCACAAGCCTCTCCCGATCCATGCCCCATCTTGCACACTCCTCCTCTTTATGACTCTGTCCCCTCCTCCACTGACACAGTCCCTAATGAATTGGAAATAGATGGTGATTGGATGGTCTCTCACACACTGCTGCAGGTACACAGCCTTATCTGAGTGTACAGGGACATGACTAATGCCAGGGCTCACACCACGGCTCCTCGATACCACGTAGGGAAGACCTGCACTAATAAGGCCAAAGGAAGCCAACTACGCACCCAAACCTTTAGAAAAATAACAGCATGAAAAGCATCCGCATGTCAATAGAAATACAAAAGGCTGGGAGTACATCTCTGGTATTGCTCCTGTTCAAGCACATGACAAAAACATCTAAATGTATATCTTTCAAAAAAAATGTGGATTTGGCAGAGCTGATTTTTAAATGCATCGGAATGGAAATTGTATAATACTGGCCAATAATACTGTCAAACCTAAAGATGAAAGATGTCCTGGGGCATAACTATAAAACAGATCCATATCCAACTAATGCTTAAAGCTGAAAGGAGATGACTCTATTGACATCACTATAATGCTTGCTATAGCTTACAGTGTGCAAAGTGTAAGGCTGCTGTGTCAGTCAGTTTGAGAGAGATGGATAGACAGTGAAGAAGACAGTAAGTGTTCTTCAAGTAGAAAAACCCATAATCAATCACATTTATTTTTTCTTAAGATTATCATCATTAAATGAATATGAAACTGCAGCGTGCCAACAAGGTGTATTATGCCTGCTGGCTAATACTCAGGTTCACAGGGTCTATAAAGGGCATATTGTGGTAAGTGGCATGCAATCACACACAACAGTGAAAACTAAGGTGTCTCCTTTTGCCATGTCAGTGTGCCCCCTTCTATGGTCAAACTCACGTCTCTGAATCGGTTCCAGGATCTGTCCTTGTTGTATTGGGCCACAGTGCTCAGCCATTTGTCGTTGTTGTTGTTAGCGGAGACCGGCGTTTGCGTGCTCAGTAAGAGAGCAACGGCAGGTAGCAGAAAGACCAGCATCATCTGGAAAGAGGGAAACAAGAGAGTCGTACAAAAAAGTCAGAGAGGAGTGCGTAAACTGAAATTAGCACGCTAAATGTGGCAGAAAAATATGGAAATGTAAGCAGTGCTTATGTTTGCGCAGTGTTTGGAGGGGACTCGTTTTATGAAATTGCTGATCCATTTTCTAATCGGATTATAAAGACTGGAGAGTTGTCGCCGCGGCAGATGGGCCACCTCGAATGATTAGGACACCGGGGACGCGCCAATTTAAAACCAATCACAATAATTGCCATGAGCCCCCACTGCGCGTTTCCTTTGTGCTCGTACGCGCACTATATACCATAACCCACTTTAACTATATACAAGACTTTTATTTAGCACCGCCGTTGTCAGTTAGCATCGTGCGCCGTCCTACCTGCGCTGTCTGGTGTCCTATTCCGACTCCCGGAGAAAGTAATTCCACGGCCCCGGGCACAGTCCTCTCGCACCGGACTGACAGACTTGACTGCTCGCTGCACTATCAGCCAAACGCTGCTGCCTCACAAGACGCGCGCTCCGGCTGCTTCCTCCTCCTCTCCGTTCACCAGACACCGCCCCCTTTCTTTCTCTCTCTCTCTCTCTCTCTCTCTATCACTCTGTCCCGGTGTCTTTCTCTCTTTGTAGCGTGTCATTGATTTTCAGCACGGCGATTTTTTTTCTTGTACTCACTCCGGAGTGCACGGGGGGATTTATGGGGGCTGTGTCAAAGCGCTGTTCTAGGTTCGCAAACACAATTTTCATTTAGCTTTTCTGCTCCTGGAATTATTCATGCTCGTGTCCACCCTGTTAATTAGATAGAGGAGGAGAGCGCGAATACTGGGCTGTAATGGATTGTTATTAAAGTGCCTTCACCTTTACAAAATTGTCCTCACTGGGGATAACATATAATAACACACAAATGCATGACGAAACCGTGGTAGTCACTTAAAAATGTTAACACACACTTTTTTAATTTGCAGCGTCTTAACTTTCTTTGGATCCGTTCCCATCCATAGTAAACACAGTGCCCTTGCCTTGATGCTAACATCTGTTTTCTGCAGAAGCTTTGGAGCCATTGGTGAGCTCAATTGACACTGGCAGCCCTCTCACAGCTCCGCTTAAGAACTTCAAAGATGAGTTTTGACAAAGTGTAACAGCAAGTTTAGCTCTGATATTGGGCTACAATCTTTCCTACACGTAAGTCCCACATTAGCTTTACTTAAAGCCCTTATGTGAAGAATACTTTGACAAAGTAGTAAGTCACAGAATACTAAATACCTGAATTAAAATGTATTTTGTAACATATTCCAATCAGAATACTGTATTCTGAATACTTGGAATACTTTCACACAGAGGTGCACATAAAATAATCGTGTAAAGACGCAAACATAGAATTAACTAGAAAAGCACTCAGAGAGCGCAGACCTCCGCCAAGGACTACCCCCATTTTTTATATAAATTGCGATAAAATCAGTCTTCTGGATCAGATCCGGATCAGCCTTTGGAATATGAAAGAGGATCCCATTGTCCATCCCTGAGTCAAATTTCATGGGGTTTGGTCAATAATTAACCGAGATATTGAGAAACAAAATTTTTGGCCCCATTTACCACAATGTTAACTAAAATTTCAAAGTGATCCAGAATCCAGGATTTCTTCCGGATCACCCCCAAAATGAAATCAGTTCTTCCTTTTCACATTTCCAACAAATCCTGAAAATTTCATCAAAATCGGTCCATAACTTTTTGAGTTATGTTGCTAACAGACAAACAAACAAACAAACAAACAAACAAACAGACAAACGCCGGCAAAAACATAACCTCCTTGGCGGAGGTAATAAGAGCTTTATATTTGTTTGTTTGTTATACATTTATTTATTGCTGATCAGAGAAGGAAAAACACTGGCACTCACCTCAAGAGCTGTGAATTATAGCTTTCTCATTAATTCTGAGCAGTTTGACGACCAAATTGAGAGTTTAGAAAAGTAACTGTATTCTGAATACCATCAAATGAAAAAGTAACTGTACCATAATACAGTTTCTCAAAATTAGTATTCTGAACACATGTATTCTCTGTACATATATTCAGTTACTTTCTAACATTGTTAAAGTATATGATTTTGTGTGCTACAGCTAGCCAGGATAAGCTTATTATTATTGTTATAGCATGTTTGCCACACTGTAGCTCAAAGACATTGGGTTTGTTGTCTAGACTGGCCTGGGGTCAATGTGTGTGTATTTCTACAACTATAACTGCCCATTTTTGATGATGTATCCCACTTAAAATTGGTGGTTTTAAGGTACACAAGAAAATGCTCATATTTATAATACCAAAAGCATCTTGCAATTGCTGTGGATTGACCCTTTGAACTGCCTGAAAAAAAACAGACACCAAAATATAAATGAATAAAATTGTTTACCGGTATTACAGATACAAAACTGAGAAATTTATTTACTCTGCTACAGTTTCTAAACACACAAGTCAGACGGATTATTGCAAATGCTGAAATATATGATTGCTGCAGGTACATGAGCTGTCCAAGGTCCTGAAACGGTTTTACTGGAGGAGCCGGTAAACACCAGCCAAGGTCATTATTATTATATATTCTGTGGATCTGAACATAAGCAGAGTTTGCATTACCTGCACTTTAGATTAACTACATACTGACATTAACATGCAGAGGGAGTGGATGCCTTCTGCAAATTGCAATTCAGCCTATCATTGGTGCACTATCTAATGCCTGTGGGGGTGAAGTAATGGTTCTATTTCAGTGTATGGCAGGTGAATATAAAAACAGAGATATACCTGAAATATAGAAAATAGACTTTATGTTCTTATTTTACATTATACATGACAGATTTTCAAGAGTCTAACTGTTTTAAATAATATTACATGTTGTAAATATAAAACAAGAAGCAATTTGTGAAGAAGAGTTGAAAAATATGTTATGTTAAATTAAATTACAGAGAGTTCCATATTCTCCACATGGGAAAAATTCTGACCAAACGTTTGACACGATTTACACAGAAGAAACACATTTTTTTGATACTTAAATGATTATTTAAACAAGATGAAGGTGTTTTCTATTTTTTTATTTGTCAAATCATAATCTCTGTGTACATTAGAGGAGTTTTGGTCCAGTGTGCAGCATGGTTGAAGCAGGTATGTTATGGAATTACTGTGATGTCATGATTTCCAACCAGGAAGTTTTTTTTAAATTTTATTATTTTTTACTTTTTTTGTAAAATCATAAATAAAATTAACTTAACTGTGTTTTGGTAAAATGAGTAGTTCAAGCTGCCATAGGCACTGAAAAGTCTGGAAGCTTGCACAGAGTACATTAGGCAGTGCGGTTTAAGAAGGGGAAATAAGAAGACCAATAAACTGCAGTTAATCGTTGAGCTACAGTATCACAAGACATTTGATGCTGACATTTAAAAGCTCTTTGAATATATTTTATGTGCGGTACATGTTAATAGTTTTCCAGCTCAGTGCTAAATGGAGAACTTGACATTTGCAAAAGATTTATAATGTTAGAAGTTGGAACACTTCAAATGGAGGGGCTGGTGTCATATATTTCACTTAAATGAACATTGACTATATTTCAGTAAAGCAGTTGGACTTGAAACGCATAGAGGCAGTGAGGTTTGATATATAGTCCTCAAACTGAAGCAAAACATCCCCGGTGTGATGCGAGCAGCTGTGATTGTTGATTCTTGTTTCTGAAAGGCGTATTTCACTCTGGCTCATCGTTGTTGGCTGTTATTATTGTGTTGTAAAAGGACTCACCGCACTTTGAATTCAAAGACTCCAAAAACAGGCACACTTCAGACAGATATTCTCCTAGAGCTTCTTTAGCGTCCACACAGAAGGGGACTGTGGAAGATGGAAGATAAAAGCAGCTTTAGGGGATACAATTTGAAATAATAACCATCAAAATCTATGAAATGAAGCCAAGAAGAAGTAGCAAATAGTGTTATTGTCGCCAGCGCAGATGGTGAAGGGAAGAGAATGACATAAAGTGAAGTTGTGTGGATTTGTGCGTCAGTCAGGAAGTCTGTATTCAACTGAGCTGTGATAGACCAAATCACTGAGCCTCCTCATTAACAGTATTTAAAAGAGACAACTAGTAGGCCAAGAGCTGTTGTTGCTACTAGCCTTTTAAATGTTAGATTATTTGTCTACTTTAGCTAGTTAACGTTACATCGATAATTAATTAAACAGTTGTAGTCTCGGGTGTTTCTTGGGCAGATATGTTGCTCTTATGGTATGGATAACTGGATAACCCTTAAATGTAGTGATTTTTAATAAAAGGGCTCAAATGTTAGACAAATAGACAAATGCGCAGATTTTCGCATTTTTCAACTCAGAAAAAACATTTTCCAAAAGTTCCTGGGGGCCACATAAATGCAGGAAGAGTAGCAAACATTGTTAAATAAGTTTTAAGATGGTCTGAAAACTCAATTTTAAAAAAAAATGAATTTAAACAACACATTTTCAGAAACCTGTGATGAACACAAGCATTCATGATCCTGCTAAGGTGTTTGGTTTTCAACAAAAGGGTGAGTGACTAACTGAAAAACAGTTGGCTAATGCTAGCTATCTTATAAAGTGTATGTGTGAGAGATGCACAAATGAGCTCACCTGTTAAGGTTTAACAGATGCAACTGCAAAGTTTCAATATACTGTAATCAATTCAAAATCACAATCTGAGTTGGAATTATAAAGGCTGCAGTTATAGAACATCCTATGCAAAAAACAAATCAACACATTCTGGAAAAAAATAAAAAATATGCCTGTAGTTTAGACCTCTACAGACAGTCTGAAATGGATTGTTGTATTAGTTTAGTTCAGTTTAGTCTTCTCTCAAATGTTATACAGTTTGCACTCTGAACGAATTCCTTTGTTTTAAACATATTTTGAAAATCAAATTGCAATTGTAATGGTTATTAAAAAAAAAAAAAACACAATGAGATTTTTTCCAAAATTGTGCAGCCCTAGTGCATAGGGACTTTAAAGGCACTGATGCAGGTCTGGAGACAGAGCGCCCTTTGAGTGACTGCAAATGGACCACTATCTAAAGCATATCAGATGCTCCGACTAAGACGTTATCTAACCAGACTGTCTCATGGCCCTATCCGCAAAAATAAAGTACTTCCACATTCTGTTCACTGCACCCAGGGCCATGGAAAATCCAATTCTGCTGCTATTGTTTAACATAGACCATGAGATCTCTAAATAGGATAAAAAGATGATTCACTAATCTATTAGATGGATTAAATCAGATAATGTGTGTACAATGTTCTGATGCAATAAACATGATGTGGTCATGTCAAGTTCAGTCAAAATTAATAGGTGGTGTGTTCACATAACAGCACTGAAGAGTTAGTTTAAAACTGAACTGGGCCACACGTCAGAATTCTATACAAAGACAGTTTAGGAACAGTATAACTGTAAGACGGCAGATTTGTTGACCTGG